GGGGGGGGGGGGGGGGGGGGAGCCCTAATGGAGGTACCTTTTTTTAAGATCAAAATATTAATTCATTGAAAGCCAGTGTTACAGACTAAATGTTTGTACTTTTCCCCACCTCATTCATTTGCTGTAACCCTAATCGCCAATGTGATGGAATGGTATTACCAAGTAGGGTTTGGGGGAAATAATTAGGTTGTGAGAGTGGAGAAATAATGAGTGGGATCACTGCCCCTGCAAGAGACACAAGACCTTGCTCTCTGCTCTGACATGTGAGGATACAGCAAGGCATTGGCCCTCTGTATGTAAATCAGGAAATGAACCCCCTCTGAGAAGCCAGTGATACTGGCACCCCGATCTTGAACTTTCAGTCAACAGATTTGGGAGCTGTAAATGTTTGTTGTAATAGGCCAAAGGCTGAGGCAGAGGTTTAAAAGACACGGATCCATCAACCACTTCTGTCATCCACATAGTAGGGTGTGACAGCTATTGCTCCTCTCATTCCAATAGAACATTGAAAGTGGAAAAATTTAGGGAATATTCAGCACAAGACATTGGGTGCCAGACAGAAAGCAGGGTAAGTAAGCAACTGTGTGGTTGATGAGTACAAAAACAACTCTCAAAACTGGTCTTCTCACACGAGTCTTCAGAACATTGTATAGTTCAAAATTTACCCACCATAAAAGAGATTAGAGACGTCTTAGGAAAACTGAAGTGGCTTGAGTACAGTCTAAAGATGCTGTTATTAAATTTACCAAACAGCACAGCCATAATCACTTCATGTTAAGCTCCACCTACACCTTAAGTTGTCCATAGTCAATCATTAAAATAACCTGACTGATACTATCTGGAGAATATGTTAGTTAACATGAGTGTTCTAAACACTTTATATGTATTAACTCATTTTAACCTTCTCAACAACTCTATGAGGTATATTTTTATTATCAACCCTCTTTATACAGATTGAGGCAGTCTGGTTCCAGAGCACTGACATCATTTTATATACATCCTTGTATAACTCTGATAAATTAATTTTTCCTAATGTTAATTATCCTAAAAATGTTAGCATTGGGCCTCCCCGGTGGTGCAAGGATTAGTTTCAGCACTATCAAGCTACTGCCAGCCACTGTGGCATGAATTTGATTCCCAGCCAGGGAGCTGATCCACACACATGGCCCAGCAGACCTCTCCTGTCTCGCTCACTGCTCCCCTCAGTAGTGTGTTTCAGTAGATCCGCCTGCTTTGTTCCACACTCTGTCTCTAGTGAATCCTCTCATCTACCTCCCACCTCTGGCCTACACCTAAGTTCTTGTATGCATAAAGAAAGAGAAAAGAAATCATGTTTCTTTTAAAAAAGACGTTACCATTTTTGCCATTATACAAGAAATGGCGTATGGTGGAGTGACAGGATTCGCCAGACAGAATGGGGAGCAGAACAGACAGATCTACTGAAATACACTGCTGGGTGGAGCAGGGGACAGTTCAGGAGAGGTCTGCTGCGCCATGAGGATCAGCTCCCTGGCCAGCTTTAACCTGTTACGCCACCAGGGGGAGCCCATTTGTTACCAGTTTTTAGCACCTCCTAACAAGCCAGGTAACAAGACTGTTTTGTCCCTCAGGATCCGTGTTACAGAGATGTTCTACTCTATTACTCCATCAAAGTAGCAGCTCTGGGTTCCAACACTCACATAAATGAGTCATATACAAGGCAGTTAACTGCTCAGTGCAACTATAAGCCTAGAGATGCATACATTAAAAAGCTCTGTTTAAAAATCTGGTTAATACTTTTCACATTTACAGACTTTATCTCAACACATAAAAAAGGACAAGTTAGCTTGGTAACATGAGTGGATTTATTTAAGATTTGAGTGCAAACTTAAAAACAAGAACAAAGCTTTTCATCAATAAACACAAAAATCTAAGTGACAATTCTGCAATCGTGCATTTCAACAGAAAATACAAATATGAATACGTTCTAATTTGCAACTACATTTGAAAATCAAAATATTTCTCTCTATCAAAAAAAGACCACACACGCTTTAACTTGTTCTCATCTTGTTAACTTAGAAACACTTATCATTTTATCAGGAAGATACAGCATTATTAGTCAGTCTTAATGACCAAAGAAACACTACTCTTCATTCACTGACTTTGAATCATTCATCTGTATTTCAGTTCTGAAAAATCATTATCACACCTCCACTCTAGAAAAACGCAATGAACGCAAAGATCAAGGAGGCAAGATACTTTCATGTAATCAAAGCAAAAAATCTCAAGTGTCTGACTTAGAAATGTACATAAACATAGTAAATTTTAAAAGTACAACTTTAATGGCTGATGTAACAGTAACAGTGAACAATTTAAACAGGTATAAAAATGTAGGATCAAAATCTTTAGGTTGAAATATTTTCAAAGTTACTATATGAATATGGAAAGTCTGTTTCACATAAACATGTATATTTTTAGATGAAAAATCAGGGGGTAGTGGCATCTCCCTGGTCCCTTAACAATTTTTGGATTTTCACAAAGAATTAGCAGCACCCAACCTTAAAAGTGTTAATGACATGTTTCTAAAGGACCTATACAACAGCTTAGTTGGCAGTGTTCTAGCTTTTGGGAGATGGGGTGGGTGAGGTGGGGGTGCAAGTATCTGAGTATGCAGGCACGCACATATCTAAAATCATTCCAAAAGGAAAAGAAGTCACATATTGAAAAACACTCAGGAAATCATCCGTAAGAGATCAAGAGTGGGCCAGAGCCAGGAGAAGCTGAATAGTAGTCTACTTAATAATAGATTTTCACTCTTCAAAGGCAAGTTGGGAAGAATGAGGATACTTACATATACATAACTTCAGGGAGAACTTGCTTGAATTTTACATCACAGAACAGTGAACAGGAAACATTACAAAAGACCTTCATTCTTGCATATAATACCAGATGAAAAGTTTTCCTTTTACCACCATATACATAACATTTAAATATTCTCTTTATAAATATTTGAGAGCAAAAAGAATGAATTTTATTGCAGTGGTGGCTCACATCTGTACAAAGCAATGTAAGCAACATATATATATGTAAGCAACATATTTATATATGTATATATAAAATGATTAAGAAAAAAGTGCAAAGAATAACAGTATTAAGAATTTTTGCTGTTTTACAGTAACTATCACTGAAGTGTGAATATCTCTCAGGAATATGTAATTCCATATTTTAATTAAAATTTCAAAAAGAAATCCACACTCCCAAGTTACTGCACAATTAGTTCCTTATTGAGTAACCTTCCTTCTCCCAAATCCAGCATTTCCAGTTTCTAAACTCTTCACACACAGAAACAAAAGTGGCAACAGTGAGTTCTTCCCTGTAGTTTCCCAAAATTCATTCAAGTTAATTAATCACTCTAAGTCTTATCATAACCCGCTTTGCTGAAATTAAAGCAAAATGAAAGGCTTTCTGAAACACAAACTACTGGCCAGGAATCAAACCAGCAACTACCTACAGGTCTTCAATTGCAAGCATAATTTGATACAAGTACATTTTAAAATCAGTCCCTGTTTTCAATGATAAATGCAGCATCTAAATCACTCCCCCAAGTTCAGTGCTGCGCAAGGACCATGATTCCACATGGTCACGATTTCATCACCGCTCCTAACAGAGACGATGCTTCCTGAGCAAATCTGAGTGACTTTCCATCACTTTACTCTTGGTGCCAAGTCTTCTACATTGAACAGATGTAGAAACGCAATTTTCAGCATTTTGAAAAATGTACTTTCCTTAGGTCAAATAATTACTTACTGATTTTAGATCTGCAAGTTTCAAGTAGCTCAAGTTCCCTTTAAATACATTACTAGGTATTTTTTGGTGTGTTTATGTTGCTTTATTCTTACTCCAGGCACCATAATTATTCACAATAGTCAATGATTCTCTGTCTAAAATAGGCAACATGATGAATCCTAAAATGGGTTCCAAGGTTATTATATGATTCTGTCTATTATACTATGATTGAATTTTCCCTTCAAGATAAAGGCTTGGAAGAAAAATTTTCAGGCCGTCCAGCACTTCTGCTTTTGAGTAGTGTTAATACAAATTTTTTGACATGCTTAATATTTAATCTTCTCCTCAACTAGGAAGACAGTAGACATTGGAAGCTATAAATTTCCTTAAACTACATTCTACTCCAACTTCGGCTTATGTTGTTCAACATTACATATATTTAAGAAAACTAATATTTCCTAGACTAATTTTTAAAAACATAATTTTCACTCTAAAATTAATAAGACAGCTAAAGGGCTTTTCAATTTCAGTTTCACTAGATCTATGCAAGACTCAACAACTACTTTAATCACTTTTGGTTTTATTACCATGTCTTTAGAATGATTTGCTTTACATTCTAACAGACAATTCAATAAAGGCTTAAAATCCTAGAACTGATAAACCACCAGGCCACCTCCTACACAACTGTAAATCAGAGAAATGCATTTTATTTGCCCCCATACATTCGCTCAATGTCTTTGAGGTAATGGTTCTTCAGTTCCTTCCTTTTCAGTTTGAAAGCATCGGTCACCAACCCGGTTTCAGGTGTCCATGGCTCTGGGCTTAGGCGAACCTTGATTGGAATTTCAAACCGCTCCAATTTCACTGAAATGAGGAGGTAGAGGAGAGAGAGGAAAGGAGTTCACAGAGTGGGGAAGGTTGGGCAGGGCAGAAGAATGGGGGAAATGAAGCAATTAATCAAACATGAAGTTTGCAGGCCCTCCCTGGTATTCAAGGGGTTAAAGCCCAGCACTAGGAAGCTATCCACAGCCCCCCCCACAGCCCCCAGGGAGCTGACCACATGGAGCAGTAGACCTAGCCTGTCCAGCCTACTGCTGCTCCCCTCAGTGGTGTATTTCACTGATCTGCCTGTTCTGCTCCCCACTCTGTCTCTGGTGAATCCTCTCGCTCCCCCACACCTCTGACCTGTACCCCAGCTCTTGTATGCAAAAATAAATACATATTCTTTTTAAAAAACATGAAATTTGCAAGATTTCCCTGAACGATACAGGTGCTAAGCAGACTTTTTTAATATGTTAATACCACTATCATATACACTACCATATAGTTTCATTTTATATTTCTCAAAGTATATGTAAACTGTTCCATTTGTACAATTTCCATCTCTGGTTTTTATGCTAATAATGTCATAATATTGTATATGCTAACATATGCAGAATTGATGCAGCACAGCGTATGAGTTAGATAACTCGGCACATGTTGAAAATTTTCAGAAAATAAAAGCAAGCAATAAATAGTAACTTCAAATTCAATAAATTATCTTCCCTAGTTGTTAATACAAGGTGATCTTTAGAACTCTAAAGGCACATTAACAGTTGTGTTAATAGACAGGTGAGCTTTACCTTGTGTGTGATTATTTGAAAAAGCAATTATCAAAAGAACCAAAACTTGCATGTTGAAAAACTACTGCTAAAAAGCCTACCTCACTTTAGAAACAACTGGGTCAGTGACAAACACAAAGAACTCAAATTCATAGATGTTTCTGTTCTAATACTAGTGGAAATTCTATGAAATCTTGGTGGAGTGGGTGAGCTGCTTTGTCAAAATAAGAGAAAAATATAAAGATGACTGAAGAATAACTTTTCTAAACAACTTATTAAAAGTATAAAACTTGTAAAGACCTAGACATAAGAATGGAAACCATAAAATACCTGGAAGCAAAGATAGGTCAAACTCTACATGACATATACTTCAGTGACATCTTTAAAGACAGAGCACCCAACACCACAATAGTGAAGGCAAGGATAAATAGATGGGGCTACATCAAGTTAAAGAGCTTCTGTACAGCAAAAGAGACATTACAAAAAACAGACAGCCCACTAATTGGGAAAACATTTTCTCACACAAAAGTAGTGATAAAGGACTGATCACAAAAATATACAGAGAACTGACGAAACTCAACAAAAATAAACAAC